CCCCACCCCCACCCCCCCCCCTTTATACCCCCCCCTTCTGATAGTCCAGCACATTTGATAATCTGGTACCCCCTGGGTCCTAAAGGTGCCGGATTATCGGAAGTTTATTGTATATGTTGAGAATATTTCCTTGCCAAGAGTGCAAGGGATGCATTTAATACAGGCAATTAGCAACATACTGGCTCTTAAAACAATAAGACCCCCACCCCCACCCCCCCCCCTTTATACCCCCCCCTTCTGATAGTCCAGCACATTTGATAATCTGGTACCCCCTGGGTCCTAAAGGTGCCGGATTATCGGAAGTTTATTGTATATGTTGAGAATATTTCCTTGCCAAGAGTGCAAGGGATGCATTTAATACAGGCAATTAGCAACATACTGGCTCTTAAAACAATAAGACTAGGCATAAGAAAAGCTTATCATTTCGAATTGAAATAAACACATAGAAGTCTATTATCTATCTTAAATTGATTAAAATGGTAAAGGGTAAACATTACTCAATAATGATGTTGCCGGAAGTTCCTCTGTGCCAGTTGATTTCCTCCAGCTGTAGGACAAGAGTGGGGAGCCTTCTTGAGATACACATTTCAGGGTAAGGTCTCTTCCAGTTTCCTGTACTCCTTCAATGTAGCATTTAGTCCTTGCTGGCTTTACTAATAAATAAATAATTATTTAAATTAAAAGTCAATTATTGCATCCATTAATTCTTAGCAAGTAAATAATTTTTTACTGCACATATCTTGGCATCAGACTATGTTTCCTAACTTATGTTTCATACAAAGGACAAGCCAATTTTAAACCACTTTCAAGAAATGTTATTTCTTCATTTTTGTACTCCTCTTCCCCATTCCACTGGCGGAAGAGAGGATCTATCCTCTCATTTTTGAGCACTAAATAATAGGGCTCTCAATCAGAGTTAACGACTGCAATTAAATGAAAGCAAACTTTGTGTGTTAAAAAAATGAAACACCATTATTGCATATCTGTGGGTGGGGCACAAGGCATCAATGAAGGGCTGGAGCCCAGAGCAGGACTAAAACCCAGAGTCCCAAGCCCTGGCCTTATATTTGAAAACACAGAAAACTCAAAAATATAAATAAATACTATTCTAATACTGTTTAACATCATGATAAATGTTATTAATCTTGTGATTAATCTTTTTAAATTGATAGCCCTACTATTTATCAATTTGTCCACTTAAATTAATAATTTAATACTGACTTGCATCTTACACAAGTACCTCTCATTTTAAGTGTCGATATAATATGGCATATAACAATTTGGCTTTAAAAAAAAGCAAATTATCTTACCAAGTACAATCAACTGTATTTTTTGGCTTTGTACTCCAGGAGCTTTCTTTACTCTGCACTGGTATGTGCCAGTGTCTGTTGACTTTAGATTGAGGATATTTATAGCGCCATCACCAGTTTGGGGATCAGGAACACTGAACTGTACCCGTCCATTCATAGCTTCATAATAATGATTATAAATCCTGTCTGCAGAGTACATAACAATCTAAAGAAAAGGGGGAAAACAGGTATTTTTTCAAACAAATCTGGATAGCAGTTTGAATACAGGCAGTCCCCGAGTTACGCGGATCCGATTTACGTCGGATCCGCAGTTACGAACGGGGATTTTCTCGCCCCGGAGGACTGGAGCGGCGGGACGCCTGGTCC